GCATCCTGGAGTCCAGGGAAGAGAGAGAATTCAGCTCATGTGAACCCCCAAAGAAGGCTGAGATAAATGTAGTGTAAGTCTCTGTAGCAGCCTGGACTTCTGAGCAAATGATAAAATCTGTTTAACCACAAGAGATTGTCCCCTTCCTACTGTGGGCACAGGCAACAGAAACACATGCGGGACACAGGAAGGTCCATCCCAGGGCAGGACCAGCACAGAGAGAGCCCTCCAGCTCTGGGGTGATGGGGAGATTTCGGCTTTCTGTCACTGGGGGCTCCTGGGAACTCGCTTCTTTTTGTGAGTCTCAGCTCCAGTCCCTGAAAGGTTTCTGTGAGGGAGCATGACAGCAGCAGCGTGAAAGCCACTTTGTTTTCTGGTCCAGGCACAAAGCCACTCGGCCAGTCTCCGAGTGCTCGGGGTGGAGGAAGGAACAAGAGCTCAGTGATGTGTGGGAAGAAGGCGCTGGGGGTCACAGACAGCCGCTTTCCCTGTGTGACCACCCTACGGTAGCAGTGGTTTTCTTCTCCTTGAAGAAAGTGAAAAGGAGTCAGAGCTGAAGTAGCGCAGCCAAGATGACAAAGCTGTTGAGTGGAGCAGGGAGTTTGCCAGGCATTATATAAGACCTGAGGACAAGACATGAGCCTCAGAAGGCTCCGGGAACTGAGAGTTCAGGGAGAGTGAGAAAGAGAGTAAAAGGGCTGGGTTAGAGGAGGGACGAGGGAACAGGAGTGTGTGGGTGTGGTCAGGAACACGCACAAGTGTGCAGGGACATGCAAACATGGGTCAGAGGACAGAGCACGGTCACTGGCCAAAGTCCTTCCTATCTAATCAGGAAGGAGCCCCATGTGGACCCCACCCCTGCCTTCTGCCTGCCTGGGCTGAGTCTAGCTGTGGGCATGGCACCAAACAAAGGGGCTTCACTTCCTCCGGGTCTCACTGATCCCCTCCCTGTCCTGGTCTTGGTGCTTACCCTCTAACGTGTCACTCTTACAGCCCTGGGCCTACATCCCCCACCAGGGCAAACACTATGGGCTCAGTCTCTTCCCCCCACCCTCCTCCCACACTGAAGACTGGACTGAACTGAGCCCCCGTCCTTCTCTTGCCCAGCCTCCCCCATCAGTCTGTCTATCTCCAGCATGGCCCATCCTTCTCACTAGGGCCAAGTTTCAGCCTCAAGGCAGTCTGACTCCAAAGTACATGTCTTTACCTAAGAAAAGCAGTAATGGGGTGGGAAGTTCCTGTGAGAAGAGGCAAAGTTCTACTAGAGATATTGATGGGATTTAAGTAGGATCTTAGATAAAGGTCAAGGTGCCAGGAAAGGTTATGTAATAAGGTGGCAAAGAGATTTGGGGTGTAAGAACGGCACATGCAGCTGCAAACAGCATAGGCAGTGCTGCCCTGTCTGACCAGAGAGCAGGTTCACTAGCTAAAGAGCACTGACCATGGTGTAGACCAAGGCCAAGTCCTGGGGAGTCCGATAAGTCTGTGAGTTCAATAAGCTTGAAATTTAATGGAGCAAACAGGTACACAGTGAGTTCCTATCGTTACTATTATAAACAATAAGTTATTTGATGGGGCAGAGAACAAAGGCAGGATCTCGGGCAAGGTATCTTCTCAAAAGACAAGGAAGATGGAGAACCAGCCAGCAAGGTAATCTGAGCTAGATGGAGGAGAGTCTTGATGTCAGGTTAAATATTTTGGTTTCTTTTGGTTTATAATTAAAAGTCTGAAGATGTCTGAGGAGCAGAGATGATGTGAGTGAGTGCTAATAAGACTTTGGATTATAGAGTCCTACAAGCCTGTTTGAATCCAGGTTCTGCTTCTCATTTTCTGTTTGATTTGGGGGCAAATTTTTAACTCTTTGTGTCTTAGTTTTCTATAGAACAGGGGATAGTACTAGTTCCCATCATTAGTGTTGTGGTGATAAGTAACCACAGTACTAAAATGAATAATAAATGTATTATTATCATTGATATTTAGAGAGTGAATTTTAGAAACAGAATTCTTATAATGATATCAACAAAAGAATGGAGGGGCAGGGGCAGAAGGTCCACTAATGTGGCCCATGCAGTAGCCAGATCAGGTAAATGAGGCCTAGCACGTATCCAACAACTGGCTTTTCTTGACCTTGTTGACATAAACTTTTAAAGAGAGGGTAGAATGGAAAATTGAAAGATAAACATCAACTCTGTTCTAAGCATTCTGGTAGTAACTTGACAATCATTGACTTATTTTATTCTTATAGTAATCCCATAAAGAAATAAAAGGTATCAGAAAAAGAGGTACAGAAATCTTAGCACACAGGTAGTCGGCATGAAGTTTGGGCTTTTTGCAACACCCTCTGCAGGTCTCATCCTTACGTGAAAGGATGAAGACCTTTCCCCTCTCTTCTGAGTGTTGATGGAGCCCCCCTAAGTTAGCTGGTCACATTTCCCAGCCTGTCAGGTGGGGCCAGTGGTACCAGGAGTAATGATGTGTGTGATGTGTGCTCACCACCCCCCGCCCCTGTGAGTCAGAACTCATACGTGACAGTGTTGGTCCACCATACGTTGTGGTGGACCACAGCAATGAGATAGAAGGAACTGGAGGTTGTAGGTGACACTGTGGTACAAAGAAGCCTCCCTATCCTGAACTTCTAATCCTAACTCTGGACTTGTCTGTGAAAGACAAATCACTATCAGTGTATCAATCTTGTCCACATCACTGTATTTTGGGGTCACTTGGTTATAGGCAGCTTGATATGTATCCTAACCAACACATTTATCAATCTTATCTACTGTTTTCCCACCTCAGTCTGATAAGATTTTCTCCCATATAAATTAATGCTCCTATAATAAGCCACATAACTATAGCAAGGCAAATATAGAGCATGGGGTGGGGTGGGAGGAAGGGGAGAAGCCCCCATCATGCCACAGAGACAGGCTAGTCTCTTCACGGTCCTCTTACTGTATTTTAGTTCAGACAATTTCCCCCGTTTAAAATCTCCTGTCCCTTTGCTCCACGTAGGTATGTGCAAACCATGAAACACTCCTTTAAAGTTTAGCCCAATTAATTCCAACATTCTACAGAAGGTATCCCCAGGATTTCCCATTCACAGGGATCCCATCCCCTGATATCTCATGTGGTTGCCAAGTAGGTACCACACATTTCCTCATATCGTGTCTTGTATGGCGGCTGGCATATGGTAAACAATAAACGTCTGTTGAAGAAATGGACCCATGGATTAATCAATTGTCCTCAAACTATACCATGAAAAGTCATAGTGTACGGAGAGAATAGTGGTATGAGTCAAAACCTCTTGGATTTAAGTCCTTGTTTTGCCATTATTTAGCCAAATAACCTGGGAAATCACTTCGCTGATTGTTTTTAGTCAGTTTACTCCATAGTAAAATAGAAATGCCACAAGACAATCTATAACTTGTGTGCCTATCGCTAAGATTAAGTGAGAATGAACACAAAATTCTGGTGCAAGATCTGTTAGGCAGTTGCATAGCGCTTAATGCTTTCCCATCAAAATAATATAAATTTAATTATAATGAAATGACACCTTTGAGTGGTTTTCACACCCAGATCTATAGAAATGCAAACTGATATAAATAAAAATAAACAGTGTGATGAAAAATCTCTGGGTCAGAGGCTTTATAACTTAAATTTACATTTGAGCCACAGGCTCAGTTTCATCACTAGCTGGTGTAGTGACATTAGGGGAAGGATTTGACCTCTCCTTTTGCATCTATCTTGGTAGAATAGAAACTGCATAGATCAAACTTCACGTTCTAGACTAGACTGAATAAAACCATCCTATTTTACTTCCCTTAATCATGACAACAATTGGAAGAGACAAAAATAACTCCAAGAAAAACCTACTCTGTCTAGTCAAAGTACAAGAAAAGGACAGCCTGATAGGACAGAAACCTTTTTGCCTTTTCACATTCCCTGTGATGGGGGTAAACACTCTGGAAAAGGTGTGACCGTCTGCAGCCATCAAGGTCATGGCAGCTGTGGAGTACAGTACCCAGTGGGACTTTTGTTTTTCACCTTCCCTGAAAAGTAACCAGCTTCTGTCCCTCCTCTGTGAAGGTTGTGTTGGAATTGTGACTTCTATCCTGAACTGCATTACTGAGAACTCCACCCACCACCAGGAGCTTGCAGAGGCAGAATTGGGATGTCCACCTTTCTCCTATAGTAACAGGAGGTGACTTCCCCGTGAGCAGATGTACACAGATCTGACTCCTACCCCTCTGCGGTAAGGACCCTATCCAGAGGGGTCCCTGTATACTGTCCTCATCTTCCTTCTCCCAGCCTGCACTGATGAGGATGTGGTGTGGACTCATGTGAGGTGGACTCCCGTGGGGCTAGGGAATACAACATGGGGTAGACCAGAATAGCACTGCAGAGGTTTATAGCCTAAATTCACATTTGAGCTATAACTCACAAAAGTGAGCATTCAGAATCTAAACAAGTTATAGGCTAAAATGAAAGATTTAAATGTATCTTTACTATAGTTAATGACAACATAGTATACATAATGCCCAGGATATAGTCTAAAATTATTCACCTTGTCAAGAATCAGGAGAGTCTCAATTTAACTGAACTGACACCAGTATTGAGATGATACAGATGTAGGAATTATAGAATAGTTAAAGATCTTAATGCAGTCATTATAAAAAACACTCCAGTAAAGAACTAGAAACACTCTAGAAAGAAATGAAAATAGGCAATCTTAGCAAAGATGCAGAAGACATAAACGAAACCAAATGGAAATATTTAGAATTGAAAAATTCAATAGCTTAATAAAAAGCTCAGTAGAGTAGCTCACTAGCCAAGTGGTAATGAGACTGAAGACAGGCAGTATAAAGTATTCAGTCTACACCATGCAGAGAAAATAGATGGAAACCACAAAAACTGAGCCTCAGAGACTTGGGATACGACAACAAGAGATCTACCATTTGTGCCATTAGTGTTGGAGAGTCCCAGAAAGGAAAAAGAATGTGGGGTTGAAAAAAAATGTATGAAGAAAAAATGGCTGAAACCCTCTAAATTTGGGAAAAGACAAACCCACTGATCCAAGAACCCAAACACCATAAAACCAAGGAAAGCAGCACCAGAACTGATCATAATCAAGCCTCTGAGAACTAAAAACAAACAAACAAATTTGCAAGCAGGCAGAGAAACAACTCATTACTGTGGGGGATGACAATTCACAGGACAGTAAATTTCTTATCAGAGACCATGGAGAACAGACACAAGTAGCACAACGTTTAAAAGTGTTGAACCGGCTCGACGCCTGTGACTCAAGTGGCTAAGGTGCCAGCCACATACACCTAAGGTGGCGGGTTCGAATCTAGCCCAGGCCGCCAAACAACAATGATGGCTGCAACCAAAAAAATAGCTGGACGTTGTGGCGGGCGCCTGTGGTCCCAGCTACTTGGGAGGCTGAGGCAGGAGACGCGCTTGAGCCCAGGAGTTGGAGGTTGCTGTGAGTTGTGATGTCACAGCACTCTACCCAGGGGGAGTAGAGCCTCTGTCTAGAGCTTGAGGCTCTGTCTCAAAAAAAAAAAAATAAAAAATAAAAAAAAATAAAAGTGTTGAATGAAAGAAATGTTTAACCTAAAATTCCATAGCTAGTGAAAGTAAACTTCACAGATGAAGGTGAAACAAATACATTCTTCCATGAATAAAAGCTAAGATAATTTTTTGCCAGTGTGCTGAAAGACTAAAGAATATTCTTTAGATCAGGAGAGAAATTTAAAACTTGGACTATCAGGATGAAGAAAGAGCAACAGAATGAGTAAATACAGTAGACTATTTTTCTTTTGAGTTTTCAAAAAGGCGTTTGCCATTTGGTTCCCAGTGTATGTAGAGATAATTTAAGGGAATATACTGATAAAATGGGAAGTGACCTTGATGTGTGTCAGGTGTGTGTATTTCATGGTAAAATATCGACACTAGTAGACTGCAATAATCTCCCACACCTGTTCTGATCCTTACAGCAACCACTTGGGAAACAATAGAAAGACTTATGTCCAAAAGCAATACAGACAAATGAGAATGGAGTTGTCTGTAAAATGTTAAGTAAGCCTCAGGAAGATGGGGGTGGGGTGGGGCACAGGGCAGTGAAAAACAGGAAAAAATATAAAACAAATAACAAAATGGTAGACTGAAATGAAATCCTAATGTGTCAATAACTATGTCAGATATAAATGATCTGCATTTACCATTTAAAGACAGAGAATGACAGAATAAAAAAAGACCCAAGTATATATGGTTTTAAGAAATTCATTTCAAACATAATGATATAAATAGGTTAAAAGTAAGAAGATTATACTGCACACATACTAATCAAAAAAGAGGGGCAGTGCCTGTGGCTCAAAGGAGTAAGGCGCCGGGCCCATATGCCAGAGGTGGCAGGTTCATACCCAGCCCCGGCCAAAAAACTGCAAAAAACAAACAAAGAAACAAAGAAACAAACAAACAAAAAACCAAAAGAGTTTGGTGTGGCTATCTTATAGTAAAGGTCAAGAATTAAGAGGACATTACATATTTAAAAGGTAAATTCACCAAGAAGCCATGACAATCTGTCATGTGCCATCTGTGATATTGTGTACTTGAAGGCACAATTACTAGAACTGAATGAAATAGATAAACTCATAATTGTACTTGGAGACTTCAATGTGACTCTCTCAGTAATTGGTAGAATCAGTAGGTAACAAGTCAGCAAGGATATAAGAACACAGTACCGTTACACAATAAGACAATAAGATCTAGCTGATATTTATAGAACACTCCACTAAACAGCAGTGGAATTCTTTTAAACATGCATGACACGTTTGTCAAGATAGACTGTATCTGCTGTCATTATGTCAACCTTAATAAATTCAAAAGAATTGTGTCTTTGACCATAATGAAATTAAAGTAGAAATGATGACCAGAGGATTAACAGGAACATCTTCCAATGCTAGAAAATTAAACAGCACATTTCATAAGTGTGTTTAGGAACTTAGTTTAAAAATTCTGTGACAAAATAAAAATAAAAATTCTGTGACCAATCCTGTTGCTTAGTGTGACCAGTTGAGTAACTACCAGAGTAATAATAACTGTCCGCGTGTATTTGAGTCCAGTATGTAAGGACGTATGTTAAATACCCCAGTTACCTGTAGGGAACGGGAGACCGATACCTGTGTGCACCATCTACGAGCCCTGTCAATATGGACCCCTCCCTGTTTCTTTAATCTTTATGCCACCTGTCCCAGTGCTGTCTCTCAGCAGAGCTCCTGTGCCGACTGGCACCAACACCAGCTCAAGGTTCTTGAGGAAATATTTGTGTCTGAGAGAACTTTAAAGAATTCAGAGTGGCCAGAATTAGGGAGGGCTCACAGGAGATGATTATAAAGAGCCCATGTCAAGAAGGGTCCCGGGTGGTGGTAAGGAAGGTCAGCCCTGGGAGGCAGTGGGAGGTGCTGGGACAATTCGAGCAGAGGAATAACGTTTCTAAATTATGACTTCAGTGGAGAGCAGTGCAGGCAGGAGGCTGAAGGCAGGGGCCGGAGGGAGAGCGACCCAGGTGAGAAATGATGACTCAGGCAGCAGAATCGCTGTTTTAGGGATGGGAAATGAGACTTCCTAGCGTTACAACATTTTTAGGGGGCTGGCGGGGACCCAGTGGTCTCACTCTGTAGCCTTGGGTGGAGGGCCATGGCGTCATCGCATTTTTAAGGATAATATAAGAGTTCAAGGCGAACATTATAAATTAGATGTTCCAATAATGTTTAACAAGTTAACACGCAGTTACACGAGTTAAGGAACGTAACAAGCCTAGTACTCTCAATAGCATCCCGCCCCTGGAAAGGTCAGGAGGAGAAACAGGAAAATGAGGCTCCAGGTGAGATTTGCCTGGTTACAAGTGGGAGCCACAGAGCCCGCCCCACCCCTCGCCGCACCGCCGTCTACGGAATGTCCTTCGTCCTACAGATCAGAGTTAGGGTCAGGATGTGTGTGACAGGCACCTTCGCCCTCTCCTACCCGCTGAAGTGTCAGGTGCGACTGCTCAAAGCCCAGGAGGAAGAAGTTGCCAACGAAGGGCAGGCGCCAAGGCCCTGGCGGGTAGTTCTTTGGTCGCCGGCTTTTGAGGAAGTCAGCGAAGAACAGAAAAGTGACAGCACCCAGCAGGAGGGTCTGGGGATGGAGCACTGCCCAGAGGGCGGCCTGCAGGAAGCCCATCGCCAGGAGCAGGTCAGGGATGACGCGAGCTCTCAGGTGTCCCGAAGGCAGCTGTCTCTGCAGTTCGCTTTCCCGGCTGAAACTTCTGACCTCAGCTCCACAGTGCAATTGCCCAGCCACGCCCCAACACCCCACTCCCAGCAGCGCCCCGCCCCGTCCCCGCCCACCCTACCCGGGCCCTGCCTCCCCCCACTTGCTCACATCCCCAACCAGCTGCCCCGCTTTGTGCCTGGCTTTGCCATTACGCCCTTTTTCTCAGCGCCCCGCCTCCTAACTCCACTTCTTGCAACACCCGGCCTTCCAACCCTGCCCCTAGTCTCGGCGCCCCGAGTCTCAACCCCGCCCCTCGTCTTAACCCCGCCCCTCAAATCAGCCCCGCCCCTCGTCTCACCGCTCCGGGTCTCAACCCCGCCCCTCGGCTCAGCGCCCCGCCTCCCAACCGCTCCACTCCTCCAGCACCCCGCCCTCTGCTGAGACCTTGAAGATGCCAGGAGCTGGATTCTGGAGAGAACACAGGAGATCTTGGGAAAAGCCCAGGCTAGACGCGATTTCGTTTCTTTCTAGAAAGCTCATCTTTCTCAGACACTGTTGGGGCTCTTGGATTTACGGTTTCAATGCAATTCTGAGAGCGCATCCGACATTAGAGTTCCTGTTTTTCAATCGCTCTTTCTCCCAGTGATTGGAACTGTGTCTGGGACAGTAGCACCTAACATTTCTTGGGTCTCTACTACATGCCAGGAAGCACACCTGCCTCTTTACAGAAATTGTTTCATTTTGACAAAATTATGCAGGAGACGCTCTTGTTGGTCTCATCTTGCAGGTGAGAAAACAGAGAGGTTCAGTACTAGGGACCTGGTGAATAACTGAACCCACTGGCCTGAAACACAGCGAAAGGAGGTCCTGGATTTGAAAGTGATGTGGGGATTAAACAGCTTTACAGGAAAGCCCCAGCCCTGAGCAGAGTCCATGGTAAGTGCCTCATTCCCACGTGTTGAAGGACTGTGGCAGTGGGGAGATACTGTATCCCCTCTCCTTGTCCTCAGCTCAGTGTGACAGAAGCCCCGTTCTAGACAGCTGGGGCCAAGAACACTTTCCATGCTCCCAGCTGGAGGCTACAGTAGCTCCTTGAGCAGGACAAGCTGTAAGCACTGCTCAGACCCTCCCCTAGACTCCATGCTGCAGAAACTCCATCCAGGAGACACTGACCGAGAGGTCCAGGGATATCCTTCTCCATCCAGCCCCTACTTGTGGGACAGAAACATTAGCCAGCATGGCAGGCTGAGAACAACTGGGCCACAACTGCTGTCATCTCAGCTTGCACATGGGACAGAGGTCCTGCACTGAAAGAGATGGTCACAGAGGCTAGAGACTGATGTCCAGACGGTAGGGATACTGGTGGGAAGCAATTAACAGGAGACCTGCAGTTCCAGGGAACAGTGAGCTACCACAGGGCAGCTAGAGGCTTATTAGGGGCAGTTAGGGAATAAGAGCCTTCCTGAGTCCAGAACAAATCTCGAAGACTGGCCTCAAATGTTATTCCTGTGAAGAAGCCCACAAGTAATTGGCTCAGGCTATGAAAAACCTATCCCCAGGGTATGACGAAAAGAATAGAGTAATGAACTGGTAGGTAATGAAGATTAACAACTGAGTATAATTTCTGCAGGGGCAGTTTAATGGAGAACAGGAACACACATAGTCCAAGAGAGCCCTGCTAAAGCCATGTCCTCCTGTCGTGACTGGGTGGATACTCAAGTTTGTGTTCTCAGAGTCCTGACATCAGAGACTTTACCCTGGAGGAGATTTAGTGTCCGTCTGGCCCTATCAATAAACAAATGAAAGTACAAGCAGCAAGGAGGCAATAGATGATTAACTAGAATTGCTATATGAGATGTTAGGGATGGAAGGCAGTAAATGGCCTACAGGGGGATGGTAGAGAATTATGACCTTCTGGGCAAGAAAGTTAGAAAGGGCCCTGAAGCAAAATAAGAAATTTTGGTGGATATGACCTTGTTAACCAAATATGTGCTATTTCTACAAAATGTAACTGCTGGCCTGTGACCCAAGACCTCTAGCCTGTGAATGATCCCCCCATAAAACAAAGATAAGGATTCCTGTCTCAGAACACTGTACACCACGGTTGCCATAAACATCATGAGATTAACAGATGCCATATTATCACTAGTCACATAAGAGTTAATAATTATTGAAACAGAGTAAATAAAATTGGAATTATGTGACAACTGACGTCATCCACAACTATGAAACCAGGACAGCATGCCTAAAGGCTCAAGGGGAATCAATCCTAGAAGTGATTGTAGGAGGAATTGGAATGAGGGTACTTACATGGGCGTGTTGCCTGTGTGTGCAGTCTCCTCTTGAGGTGGACCCTTTACTACTCTCTTGGAAAAGCCTGGGCATATCTCTTTTTCCCTTTACATACAATATACTCTTTTTCTTCACTTTAAATAAAAACTTTGCTTCATTTCTGCTGTCTTGGAGACCCAGCTGTCTCATTTCCCCTCCTCCAGTGTCCTGCTCTCCCTTTGACTCAGCTGAATGTGCTAGTTCTCCTGGGTGAACAGAACCAAACCAGGCTCAGAGGTGAATGCTCACCTCTATCCATATGTATCTAAAAAAACGTGCAAAGAAACAGGAAAGTGAGACCCAAACACAATCCATAAAGCAAGCAATTAAAACGTCCTGAGACAGAGCCTAGATATCAAACACAGACTAGAAAGTAACTTAAGTATAACTCTGTCCAAAGAACTAAAGAAAACCATCATGATGAAGGTAAAGGGAGGTAAAATGACAATGTCTCAAGAGTAGAGAAAATGAATAAAGAGAAATCACAAAAAGTAAGAAATAAAATTTTGGAGTTGAAAAGTGGAGTAACTGAAATTTTAAAAATTAGTAGAGGGGATCAACAGTAGATGTAAACTAGAAGAGATAAGAATCAACAAGCTTAAAGATAGCTTGATAGAAATTATGTGATCTAAAACAGAGAGAAAAAAGAAAGAATAATGAACAGAAAGTCAGAAAAGTGTGGGATACCACAAAACACACCAATATATTTGTAATCAGATTACCACGGAAGATGACCCGGAGAAAAGAGCAGAATAATATATGGGGAAACAGTGGCTGCAAAATTACCAAATGTCATGATAAACATTAATGTACATTTCCAGGAAGCTCACTGAGCTTCAAAGCAAAGAGACCCGCACTGAATATATCATAGTCAGGACCTAAAAGACAAAGAGAGAATCTTCCAAGCAGCACCAGGAAAATAGTTTATTCAATAATAGGGAACTCAAGTAAGATTAACAGCTGACTTGTTATCAGAGGCTGTGTGGCCAGGAGAGGCTGTGTGGCCAGGCTGTGTGAAATAGACACAGACAGTATTTCACATGTCTGTGTCTGTGTTACACAGACAGTATTTCACATTTTCCAATTTTCTCCTCACCAGCATATAGTGAGATTTCAGCTCTTGTACCTTCATTTCTGATAGGGAAAATGGAAACATTGCAGGTTAAACATCTTGCTCACAAAGTCACAGTAAGGTGTCGGGCAGTGACAAATCCAGAAGACCCTCAGCCCTCGCCTAAACCTCCCTTTCCCTTTGGTGGCTTAGCAAAAGGCTGGCTTAGCAGGCTTGAGGGAGCTCAAGGGGAGAAGAGCCTGACGCAGGGGGTGTTGGGGGTTTCCAGCTCTAACCCAGCTGCTTCCTCATTCAGGATGCTGTCTTTACCGCTAATCACCTACCCTGTCCTGTGTCCCACCTGTGAATTTGTTGCATATTTTGAGGATCCCTCTCCCGGGCTTCTTCCTTGTTCCTACAGCCAAGCAGTGCCCAACCTGAGTGCACTGCCTTGACAGCTCAGGATATTGTGAGTGTCCTGCAGCTCTCTGCTGTAAGTCACTTGACCACCAAGCAGATTTTAAATTTATCCTCTAGCCTGCATGTGCCTGGGCCTCTTTATGGGAGAGTTGGGAAGAGGAGAGTCACAGCCTGGATGGCCATTGGGTAAAATCCACACCTGGTCCACAACGCCCCAGGTGATGCTATGGTGATGGCACAGTGTGTGTCAGGCACTGGTACAAAAGAGGGGGCCAGGGGCCCTAGAGCCTTCAAAATAGATGGAGGAATAGGAGAGCTATAGCAGCGTGTGCAACAAAACCTTCATGTCCTGCTTGGACAGGAGAGGGGCTCATATTTTAGAGCCTCTCCAACAGGCTTTGAGAAAAATCAAAGATGAGGGAGAGAGACATTTTCCATGGCCAATAAATTCAATTACAGTCTTCTATTCCCCAAGGTTTCTGGTTAATTGTGCTCACATCCTACTTGGCCCTGGGTCCACTGCATCCCCAAGGTCAGGATGAGTCCACAGGGGGCTTAACAGGTGTGTATCTGCCCATCTAGGAGCATGGGACACGCACAGCAGAGCAGGAATGAATCTAGAGGTGACTCGTCAAAGCCCTTCATTTCACAGATGAAGAAACTGAGACATAGAACGAGTTTGACCAATATCTCTTGAGTCTCCTACTTGTGTGATTGGATTATGGGAATTAAATGGAAGACAATGTCCTGGATGTTTGGGAAATTCAAGGTCAAAGCAGCATTGGATGGGTTTTATTCTGAGACTATGACTTGGCCTGTTTAATAGAAATGCAACTTTCCAGTGAGTTACAAAAAAGTGCACACACATTAGACTCTCACTTCCATTTTCTCCTTTACCAGGTAAGAAGGACCAAGCCTTCTCCCTCACATTAAAAATCCAACCATTCTTCCAGACATGTTTTTTCCTAGCTCTTCCTGGCAGCTCAGGCTAGCTCCAGCCAAACACCCTCCCCCCCTCCCCCACTTTTCTCTGTCTCTCATTCTCAGGTGTCAACTGCATTGGGTTTCCTCTGAGTGCCAAGATGTAGGAAGGATAAGCACCATGGTTTCCTAGTGGACTGTGTTTTAGGCTCCACATGACTTTAGTCTAATCAGCTTGTTATGGTTTGAGTGTGTCCCCTCCAAAGGTTATTTTGATTCTTGGTCCCCTAGCTGCAGGGCTAGGAGGTGGGG